CCTCAGAGGGGAAATTCAGGTGCACCGGCAGCAAAAGTGACTCAAAAATCAAAGCAAGCTTTATTTTCACCTTCAAAGTCCTTCCTTAAACTGTGGTGTTTTATATCCTACACAGTTACATGTAAGTTTAATTTCATGTGAGCCTTCATGCTTTCAGTCCTGGTCACTTTGCTGCTGGTACACCTGAATTTCCCCTCTGACGGAGTAAAAGAGTAAAGGAAATTTATTTCAGCTCTTTTCTACTGAAAAGGACATCACGCCCCCTCGTGGTCATGAGTAAAATAGCAGGACTAATACTCAGTTGCAGTGTGATGCCGTGAACGCAAATTCAAAGCTCAAACATAAATGATATAACCTCATAAAAACTGTGCCTGATCCTCTATTATGCTGATCAATATCTTGATATTGCTTTATTTTTGTTAATCACTAAAGGTTTGTTTAGAAACAAAAGCTAAGATTCAGTTTTCAAAGGATGGTTTCATGTATTAATAAAAAAAAATCCAAACCAACCTTCTCTTATGTGAGAAGGTACTGTAATTGTCCCTAAACTTGCTGCTTTTACTGCCATTGGCAACAATAACTAGCAGTGAATGTGTTACACTCCTGTGGAAGCTTGTTAGCCCACTCTTCTTTACAGAGTAGTTTTATCACAGTCACCTTGGAGGGTTTTTCAAATGAGATAATCTGTTTGGCACTGCATTTTAATCTAATTAAAGTCCACACTTTGACTAGGCCTCTCCAAAACCCTCAGTATGTTTTGTTTTAGCCATTCAGAGGCAAACTTGCTGGTGTGCTTTGAAACATTGTCCTGTTAAATGACTCCAATGTTCTTGGACTGAAGGTCAGAAACTGATGGCTACATGCTGTACTACTATCTCTTCAATATGGGGAACATTTCCTCAAACATCTGGGGGATCATTGAGTTATTTTTTGGGAAAAAGTGAGATTTAATTTATTTTTGGCCAGCAGTGGATGTGGCCTTGGAACTCTCTCATTGATGCCATTTTCCCTCAGCCTCTTTCTTCTTATTGAACCATAAACACTTTAACACTTTTCATGGACCTCGAGCCAGCAGGCAGTTTGCACGCTCCTGCAGCAAGAAGAAATACGCCCGGTGATCAGAGAAACGACACCCCAGCTAAAAATAATGGGCATGCTGTGTTATCACAACATAAAAAGGGTCACTGGGGTCAGCGGGGTCACGTGCAGGTTGTTTACCCACTTGGAAATCCAGGGAGATGCTTGCGTGTCGTTAATCACAGAGGAGAAACGGCCCGGGGACAGAGGGCAGACCTACATCGGATGTGGCCCTTATTTACTGCTGCCCACCTCACCGAGACATAAACGGTTTCCTTCACACTTTCTGTCGGCCATATTTCTTTTTTATGCGTTCCTATTTTCAGAGGAGCATCTGAAATCCAAATACTACTTTATGAATTATTTGACATTCAGTCTGTAACAACTGGCGATGGAAATGAGTTTTGGCTGTGACATTTGTGTTGTATAAAAAGAAATTAAATGAAAAAATGTCCTAAAATATTTTACTGATAAAAACTGAGGATTGGTTCGTGCATTTGTGTACCCCAGTACTGGGGTTGTACTGGTTGTAAGAACCCAGTACAACCAATTAACGTCTGAAATTACCTCAGGAGTTAATTAAGACTAATTGTTGGTAATTTTTTCTTCTCAGTATACATATATCCATGTTTTCTGTGAAGGACTTAGGGGTTTGGTACAGAACATCAGTGGACTAATGTCATTATGAAGACCAGTAGAAGTTTATTTGCATAGTACAATTCATATACAGTAAAGCAAAGCGTCTTACAGGAGAAAACAGGGACGAGAGAGATACATCCGAAAGACATAAAACATCACATAACAGAATAAAAACATGAGGCATACTCAAATAAAAGACATAAATGTTGAAATGAAACAGTCTATGCAAACACAGAGCTGACAAATGATAGAAGTGATGCATGTTATGTTTCTGCACGCCTCAGCCTTTTCAGGGAGTTTGTTCCAGAGCTGAGGGCCACAGAAACTAAACACTGCCTGCCCTTGTTTTAATCCTGGAACAACCTGCTGTTCAGCTACTATCCGCCACCATCGGCATGTGAATGCGTGTGTGTATGGGTGAATGACTGGGTTGTATTGTGAAGCGCTTTGGGGTCCAAGACATTTACCATTTTTACCATCTTTGCACAATCGTGGTTTCCCCAGGAGATGGCGCCATTGGTAACAGATAATCCTGGAAGAGACCAAGTCCAGTCCTTGAGAGCTACTACAGTGCAGCTTTCAGATGCGTCACTGAATAAAATGGCTGAATCCTCTCAGCAGCAGTCATGCAGCTCCGCAGAAGTCTAATATTTCGTTCACGTGTGTTGGAGAAGGGATGCGTTACATGGTGTAGCTGTTGGCGCCACTGCCTTGCAGCAAGAAGGCCCTGAGTTTGAATCCCAGCCAGGACCATGGAGCTTGCATGTGCTCTCTGCTTGGGTTCTCTCCAGGTCCTCTACCTTTTTCCAACAGTCCAAAAATACGCATGTTAGTTTAACTAGTCATGCCTAATTGCCCTTAGGAAAGAGGATGTACATGCATAGTTATTTGCAACTTGTCCAGGATGTACCCCCGCTCTCAACCACTGAATACTGGAGATAGCCACCTGTCCTCCTGTGACTTTCCATAGTTAAATAGATACAGATGATAAATGGAAATAAGATATAGTGAAAAAATAACTTAATCATAACATCCTTGCCCTTCTCTCCGCCTAAATGAATAATTCTCATTTTTTTACTAATTCAGATATGTGATATTTTAAGTTCTGGTGAAATAACTTAAAATCCAAATCTTTGGCAACTTCAGCTTCCTCATCTCCACTATCAACATAATAGACAACAATCCTTACTTTTTGTTTCTTTTAGGTAGACTGCGTGCAGATAGCATGACGTACACAGAATCAAACAAATATATCTTTCTTTTTTGCATGCACGCCATTCCATCTGTACCCATGTAGCCTTGCAGGAGATGCTGAAATGTGTGTGTGATGATGTATTTGGTTATAAGAGCGAGGGGGACTTCCACAACAGGATGGCACCCTGGGCGGTTGCCCATGTCGTCCATGTCAGAAACCGCTACTGATGTAAGGAATTTAAGTCCTGTCTGATTTTTCATGTTTGGAATACAATCGAGTTAAATCACACTAGTTGTTGGACAAAATAAATGTGGAAAAAAAAGTGTTTTGTGTGCCCTCATAATTTTTGTAATGTTTTTATTTACAAACTTGTTCTTGTTTGAAGTCAATTTGAATATTTGTATTGTCCCTGTGTGTAAGAATATATCCATTAAGTGTTGAGATGGAAATGTCATCAAAAGTATCCGGTTGAATTGGTCCACAGAGTATGGAAATATTACTGAATTATGGCTTAAATATGAATCAGAATAATTTAGGCTAAATTGGACATTTTGATTGATTTTTTTTTTCCTGAATTTTTCCTGATTGCCAGTGCAATGTTTGCTGCATTTGTCCCACCAAAGAGAATGAAATACAACAGCATGTCTCTAAACTGCTAAAATAATGACCCGATAACAAATACATATGTATAACCCTGGCATATGCTGCCCTCTCTGAAAAATCCTTGCCCCTCTCTTGCAACCCCAGAGATATTTTTTTCAAAATCCACCACTGTATGTAATTTGGCAGATGATTCATAATTTCTCCCAACATTTACATGTCTTACTTTTAAACTGGCATTATTAACATTTTTAAACGTGTGTCTCATACTAAGGAATATGTATCATGTGGTATGCATTGCCTCCTAAATGCCAGCCACGTGGGTTTGAGTCATTGTTTAAATAAATTTATTTATGCTGGCTGCCAGTAGGTGGCAGTAATAAAACAGAGAAGTCTGAGTCAAACCCCAAACTTAGGGGGGGCGGGGGGGAAATATCTCTTTACTGGTAACGTTTGTGATTTTTTACTTTATTTTATTTTTTTGCTAGGCATCTTGTTAAGTTGAGAGGATATGTCTCCTTTGTACAACAGGAGAAGGCGAGCCGTGCTATAAAATGTTGGACTCCTCCCCATTAAATTGATGAAAGCGGGTGTGCAGTGAGTTGCACTGCAGGGATTTCCCATTTTCCGCCACAGTACGCATCCTGCCTCACGTACGCTTTCTCTCAGTCTGACGTGTTGTGACGCTGGGCGTAAAGGAGGAAGAAAGTCAAAGTTTGATTTCCTCAGCGCGAAGAGTGAATTTAGTTTTTCAGACTGAATTTAAAAAATACTTTATTGATCCCAAAGGTAAATTAAATGTTGTAACTTATTAATTCAGATTCTTCAAATAGTTATTATAGTGGAATATAAGTGAAAATCAGTAATCAAATGCAATAGTAATAATATTGTATAAAAGGGGAAAAATTAAACATTCAAATTTCTTCTTACATCAGTGCTGCTTCCGCATATAAGGTCTGTGTTTGTGACAATCCCCATAGGGGATTCATTCAGTCCTTTAGGAAACTAAAGACAAAATAGGGTCTGTGTTAAATTCATCGTGCAGTTTAATCCTGAACAGTGTGATTCAATGCAGAGGGACTAAACTAAATAGTTTTTTTTTTTATTTCCACTTGCTGCAGCTCCCTTTTCTGAGTCCGTCTGCAGATAGTTATGGTTTTCAGGTTTTATGTGAGCAGTATTCGGTCACATTAACTAATTATTACGAGAATGTGAGAAAAGATTACATCATTCTCTACCATTCAGTCTCTGGCATCCTGCCATCGGTACCTGTCTCTGTCTGCTTTGATCGCCGGCTGTTAATTTAATAATCCGTCATCAAAAAACCCAGCTTTCTTTATTAGATGATAAAGTTCTGCGAACATGAGATCAACCAGACCACTGGTATCCATCAGTCTGGTCGCCATAGCAGCTGCAGAGAGACCGTGAGGAGTCCCTCGTTCAGAATGGATCTTGTCAGCAGCGGATGAAGTGACGTCACGTCGCTATGGTGACTCAGGCAGTATAAAATGTGAAGCCTGAACAGCGAGCTGCGCACACTGACTCGAGCAGCATCAGCAGCGAGGTAAGTTTGAGCTCCGCGGTTTAACATCTATGTATAATTCATGCTTCTAAACTAAATTTCCATCGATTATAACGTGTTTATATCCACGTTCTTATCGGAAACCCATCAAATATCAATAAACATCTATCGCCAAAGAGGTTCTACGTCACTTGCGGAAGCTTGTGGCCATGATGTGTTCGCATCCACTTCCAATGTTAACTCTGGTATTGTGGTGCAGAAAGGACTATATTGGGATTTGAAGGAGCGCTATATAGTTTAAGATTTTTTCTGACCAGTTCTGTTCGCAGTTTGCTTTTAAACGATGCCTGTAGGAAGACAGACGGGAGAATGGGAGGGGATGCGCAATGGCCTCTTAATCTGGAAGGGAGACTGTCCTTATTCCTTATAAAAACATTGCTTCGCGCATCTTGTAAACACTTGCGCTCAAAATGCGCCACGGTGGAAATTGTGCTTAGTGGAAAACGGAATTATCACAATTTTCGACAAATGTGTTGAAATGTGGAAGATTACTCTGTGAGAGCAACGTGACTTTGTAAGCTCGCAGCGCTGCATCTGCGGAAGTAGGCTGGACTCCATGTTATGTCATCCTCTGCACGAAACCCAAGCTGTATTACTCCCTTAATTTAGCAAAAATACTATAACACGGAGTTTATAAAGAAAAATCATGATTGCGAATTCCGCAGAGAGCTCTCTTGGTCATATTGTTTCACGTGTGCATCCCGCAGGGGGATAACACTGGTACTGAGATGAATAAATGAAGCTACGTGCCTGCTCTGCTCTTCACCATGAAGTCTGACGACGTTACACACTCGAGGGATGAATGGGTTTCCGTAATCACGGGATTTAGGGGTCAGAGTGACGAGAAACAAAGTGAATAGGAATGACTTGATGTAGAGGGGAAAAAGCAGGTTAGAACTCGCATTATTGTATTCTTGTGATGCAACCGTGGGGCAGAGAAAAAGTGGCGCAGCGTCGCGTTATTCTGTCGCAGTTTGGCACGACACTTGACGGACCTGTTGATGAGGCTTGTCGACGAGGCCTTGTTTTTATCTGAAAGGATTTAGGCATTTTTTACTGTATTAAAACTGATAAGAGAAGGGACGTTGCGAAAAATGAAACCATGGATACTTTTCTGTCGTGTGGTTTTGGTAGCTTACAGGAAGATGCAGCCATGTCAGACTGGATGAAGGTCATGACTCGAGATGATGAAGGGCACAGCAGGCCCAGGGCTGCTTCACTGATGCTAATCGACATTTTGTTTTTAAGCTCAACAACTTTGTATTTTTCACATTGTAGTCACAGCCGGCTCACCTAACACCATACTTAAGTGAAGGTTGCAGGCAGTAAGCAGCATCTTAGCATTAGCTATGACCTAGCTTGCGTGTAAAGGCCTTAAGCCTGAGGTAGTAGAAAATAAAGTCTTATGCGTTCTTTAAGTAAATATTTTCTGTTCTCTTGTTTTTGAATATTAAAACATATTTACATCAATAACTTCTTATCACTATTTTGTCTTTTTAAGTAATATTAGCAAGTCATGTTAGCTAATTTGGCTCCTCATGCTAATGATGCTCATACATATTATAACAATTTGTGTTAGCTCACTCTGCTTACACTTAAGAAAAGGCTACAAGCTTACAAATACCTTCTGACTACCACTAATTAGCCTGTTAGCCAATGAGAGAAGTCTTAGCTAACCTAAGCTACCATAGCACTGAAGAAAGTGAATAGTCCCTGCTAGACATGGCAGGTTACTGGTACCAAGGTATATCAGGCACTCATAAGTTCATGTGTTTTTCTCACATCTACTCATGTTGGCTAAAGGCTTGCTGCAAAAAGCATAGAGCAAAAGCAATGATGATGGCCCTGAAGTTGCTGCTCTCTGCTGGTCAGCCGGATGAAAGATGGCAATTAGGTTTCTCTCATGCTTACTGAAAAGACAGTTTTTGCCAGTTCCTCACCGAGAAAGTGCCTAGCTTTTGCTTTAGCTTCCATCTTTACAAGTTTCAGAACGTGGCTCTCAGATACACCTCCTACTACTGGTCATTTACATACTCGACTCATTCATTCCCTCTGAGCTAGTTCTAGATTAACTAAGTTTTCCCCCCTGAATGGTGGTTTGGTTTGTATGAGTGTCCCGTTTGATCATGCAGCAGCACCTACGAACTCAGCTTTGTGTGAGAGGAAGAAAGACTCAGTATGACTCAGCATTCTTTGCCTAACTGTCACCACTTTTAGGAAATGAGCCATCCCACAGGAAAGAAGGTTCACACATGGCACCATAGATCAATAAAATCCTCTCAGTGGAATATTGAGTGGAACATCCCAAATTAGACTGTAAAGTTACAAAAAAGAATGTGAGAAATACCACGTTTTTGAGCATGTTCTTTCATTTCCTTTTCTTACTTGTCACGTATACCTCTTCCTGAATTTTTCTGGATGTTGTGGCATTTTTTTAAATAAAAAAAATGCTACAACTTCTTGTAACCTACTTTAAGTAAGGCTACAAGAAGAAAGCCTTACTTTCTTCTTTTTACAGTATTATGGCGCAATATCCGCTTCCGTATCGTGTCAGGTCAATTTAACCAATATTTGTAACAGTTTGCTACAGCAGGAAACACAACCCATGTGGGGTCAGTTAAAAGCCAGACGCATCCTTGTAAAGTCTGACTGTGTTTGCATATTTTAGACAAGTGATGTGATGATGGTGAACATTTGAGTGACTCGTTCAAAGCCGCAGTGAGACATCTCTAAGGTGAGAATAAAAAACAAGCAGACATGCTGCTGAAGAGGAAGTGAGAGAAACTGTAAGTTAAAAGGAAAGTACTTTTTGTTGCACGGAAAAAGAAAAGTGTGACTCCAAAACTCTGAAAGAGGCGGGTCGGGAGGAAAAGACATTACCTAATTGGCTATTCTGCAATGTCTCTGTCCAATCGACCCACTGCAGTGGAAAAACACTGAGGAGAAAGAGGGTGTGACAGAGGAATAGGAAGCTGGGGGAAGGTTTGAATAGCCAAGGGCGGACGAAGGAGGAAGGCTGGGGGGGGGGGGGGGGGGGCTGGGGGGGAAAGGGGGGGGGGGCAAC